ATCAGGTAAGCAGAAAAGTACTAGATAACAACCAGTCCGTTTATACTCTATATCCTACTCTAGTCGATGATGCTCATATTGAACAATAAATAATAATATTCTGGTCTTGGATCTTTCTTATGTCAGTGAAAGGAAATGTCTTTAATATTCATGCAAACAGCTCTGATTGTGAGCATAAATGAAAGAAAAAGGTGAGATTGTTGGCTAACAAATTGCCAGTGATCATCACCAGCCTCATCCTCCTTTCTGACCTTAACTTACAAATGAATATCACGATATATACAATATGACTTTAAAACCAGTGAATGAGACCATAAACTTATCAGAAGCGCGTTTACTCGAGACAGATCAAACATGCAAAGAGTGTTTTTCTCATAAACAACATTTGTTGACATCACTAGAATGTTTTGCAGGTAAGAAGGTTAAATAAATTTGATTGAGTTTTGATTCGGGCTGTATCCTGGACAGTTGATCAAAAATAATTCTGCATAGTGTTATACTGATAAACACCAAATAAGAGTGGATATATCTTATACAGTGCACCTGGACGATGTCTCTCTCAGCAAAGCGTCCCCTGGAGGAAACTCTGACCTCATCTCCATCCAGCTCCTCCATAGCTGAAGACAATAAAAACAACATTATATTTACTGGTATAAATATTGCATGACTTACATGTACAATGGAAAAGCTGAGCTGGAATTTTTTATCCAGACACACAACAGAAAATCGTCTAAATCCAGATATATTTTTTCTAGGATGCTTGATGTTTGTGAAAATGATTAAAGTGGTAATTTTATCTCAATTATTTTGAGTAGAAATGTCTTAATTCACTCATGTTAACCACAGTTTAGTATGTTTGCTTTGGATCAAATGAGTGATTGAATTCCTACATAAAAATTATGTTTTTTTCATTATTTATTTTTAATGGTTAGACAAGAAAATCAGACAATACATTTATACAACTTGGCCTTTAATATAGCACATTTATCAGTACCAACTATAATAATATACAGCTTTAACATACAATAATATTTCCTCAGTAAGATAAGCATATGTAAAATACACCTTGCTTTTTTCACCTGTAGCTGCATTAACACAACGTCTCTTAGGACGAACATATTCAGTTGAGCTGCTTTTTAACACTAAACATGTCAGTAATGTTCTGTACTCTTCCTCCAAACCAGAATAAACAAAAGCTCCCGTATTCACAAGGATTTTCCACAGTGGGTAGGTCTGCATATTTAATTTGGCTGATTTTTACACTGGATGCTCTTCCTCCTGCAACCTCCAAGGGATTTGTTTAAATGTATAAAACCACTACACTATGAAGCCACAGCAGTACTTAAAAATGTGGCTGAAGAAATCTTCATAGTGACAATTCAAGAAATTTTAGTGCTTCAGTTCCTTGATGTGACCAAGTTTG